TTACAAAAATTACCGAGAATATTAAGTTGCATTTGAGTGGTTTCCTGGTCGAGTGAAAGGAGTATAAGGTCCTCCGCCCACAGCAGGTGGCTAACAGTAATATTTGAAAGTACGGGGCAATTTGGAAAGTCTAGGAGGCAGGACATATTACTGAGAAAAACTTTAAAAAGGTCAGGTAAGAGTGGGTGACCTTGTTCTGTACGTATCTGAAAGCGTTTACTGAGATGACCAGATAATTTTATGTAAGCGTACGAGTTTGAGTACATATTTTTGAGGACATTGTAGAAGTTTCCAGTTATGCCATTTTTTGCGACTTTGAGGAAAAGGGCTTGACGGCCGCAGACTGAGTCGAATGCTTTTTTAAAATCAACAAATACTGCATATACAGGTTTCCCCAAAAGTTTATATTTTGATGCTATAGTTTTCATGGTTAGTATATGTGATCGTATGTTTGAGCTTTCTTTGTGAAGCCTAGTTGGTTAGGTGGATCAGGGCAGTTTTCAGAGCGGAAGTGAATGAGTCGTTCTAAGAGAATAGTTGAGAAGAGTTTTCCTATGACACTGCTGACAGCAACTGCGCGGTAGTTGTCAGGATCCGATTTATTTCCCTTTTTATGAAGTGGAGATATGATGCTGACGTTCCAGGGATAAATTCCTTGTGAGAAGCAGGCGTTGAAGAGGTTCAACATAATTAATTTATGATTGGTATCCAGAGATTTTATAATTTCATTATTAATCATGTCGAGCGAGGAAGCTTTACCATTTTTGAGGGATTTTATACTAGAGTCAAGTTCTGTTGTGGTGATTAAGCTGTTGAGTTACTCAGGATGAGTTGCACCTTGATTTATCAAGTCAGCTTGATCAATCATAGAAACTTTTTTATTTTCATTTATTGTTTTGTGGTTATCAGAATATAGGTTACCAAAAAAAGACTCGAATCTATTCATATCATGACTGTCAAAATTTAACGTTTCCTTTTTCTGATTTTTTAGTTTTTTGAAAGATTGCCAGTTGAGAATTTCCCTCCCCCTCTATGTCCTCATTCATACGTGAGAAGAATTCGTTTTTTGCAGAGTTCTTCAAACGCTTATAGCTACCCTTGACAAGATAATAGTTTTCACGTATAAGGTTGTTTGACGGGAATTTTGAGGTTGCATCTGTAGCTTTACGAAATTCTCTTTTACCTAATCTCGTTTTCCAGTTAAACCAAGGTTTGTTTGAGGTGTGAGACTTTTTGGGTGGTTTGGTTTGTTTGAAACACTTCGAGGCCATGTCGCGAAGATGTTCTGAAAGTCGTTTGTTAATGTCTTTATAAGTTCAGTTTCATAATTACGGACATTGTCTGCTAAATTATTTTGATTGGTGAGTAAGTCGATGTTCGATTGAAGTTCTTGGATTAAGGTCAATGATAGATTTTCTCATTTCTGACTGAGCTTCGAAAAAGTCGTCTTTGTTCTCTTCGTTGATAATGAATCTGGTTGGCGCTGTCTTATATGTGACCAGAACTTGGAAATAAGTCAGGATATTTTGTCGCACTAGAGTACGCTACCTGGATCGTAGTGCGACACGTACTGTAGTGCGACAGAGGGTGTTTTTGTCGGACTTCGCACTAGAGTACTAATTGTCGCACTAGAGTACGTGTCGCACTGCAGTACGATTACCTTAAGGAATCTCTATAATACTCTAATACAAAGCCGAACCGCATTGAGAACGGCACCTTTTCTTTATGCTTAGCTTGTATTGTATAAGTTGCTGGGGAGGAATCCCAAATCAAAAGCTGGATGAAATTTGTGCAATTGCAATTGTTTGATAACAGCATGAGACAAGTGGAAAACAAACAAATGAATACATTTCAAGATCGTAAAGGCTTGTCGCTTGAATTCAGTTCGACAGTCGCAGTTATCTTTTCGAACGGACAGTTTGTATTAAGTGCCAGTGTTTTTATGTTTAAGTTTAACCTTCGTTCGTTTTTCACCAAAGAATGGGAATTTCTCCGCCTTTCAGCGTCCTTTATCTTCATAACGGGTGTGTATAGCCTGATGGCGTTTATAACCCTGGTCTTTGCTGGTCAGATGAACCAGGCTCACTTGGCAGGGGTGGGACTAGCTAACACGCTCTTCAATGTTGCTGTAACTTCAGTTTCCTCCGGATACTCCTCTATATTTGACACATACGGGCCCCAGGTTCATGGCTCTGAGAAGAAATCTGAGTTAGGGACTGTTCTCTTCAAATGCCTACTTCAGGGCATCCTGGTCAACTTAATTATCGCGGGTCCATGTCTGAACTTGGTGTTCATCGTAGACCTGTTACCTGACTCTGGGTTGTACTCAGACACACCTGATCTAAGTGATCCAGGAGAGGATTATAGAGATATAGCAGTGGCTTATCTGAGGATGACTTTGGTGGTAGAGAATCTAGATTACACCCTGGTCATGATTTCTAAGTACTTTGCTATACAGGGGTACGACAAGTTCGTGTATTTAGTCACTGTTGTCATGGTTGGGTGTCATATCCTGTTCAACTACACTCTAGTGACGGTATTTAAGCTTGGTGTTGACGGGTTAAGCTTGGCTGCTATCTTAGGACGACTGTTTCCGCTTTTGGTGTCGTTGACAGTTTGTTTCATCATGGTGAGGAAAGGGAAATTTTCTTGGAACGGGTTTTCTACTCGTGCCCTGTTAGGCTGGGGACCAATGGTTAAACTGAGCCTGGCTGGAGCTATCGAGTGTTTTGCAGAATCTTTTCTTTATGAGATAGCAGTTTTCTTGAGTCAGTTCGACGGGGCGGATGCTTTATCTGTGGTAATCATAATGTATCAGCTAACAATCATTTGGTGGGCCGTAGCGTATGGTATGGCCCGAGCATCAGCTACTCTCATCGGGATGGCTTTGGTAGAGGGAGACGCAAATAAAACACGATACTTTATGAAACTATCTCTTCTGAACTCAATTTTGGTATCCACAACGCTTGCTATCATTTGCTATTCCTTGAGAACTGAAGAAGTTCAGATGTTTTCCTCCGATGGTGACGTTAAGGATTTATTCTTGGCAACAATTTGGGTAGCTTACTTAGGTATCCCTGTAAATAACATGCAAGTTTCTCTCAACCAAGGGATCCTCGTAGCCTTTGGTGCCCAGGAGTACACAGCATGGTCTATGAGTATAGTCTGTTATTTGATCGGACTACCAATAATGCTCATAACCATATTTCTATCAGACTTAAGAGTTTCTGGTATTTTCTTGGGGGGCATCGTAGTGGACGTTATTATGATCGTGGCGGCTTCGGTAAAGATTTGGACGGTTGACATCGACAAAGAAATTACCAATTCTAAGGAGAGAGTGGATGGAGACAAAGGCAATTCAAGTGATTGCGTTGCCGGAACAGAAACTTCAGTCAATGAAATCTACGATAACCCGACATGTTCTGTGAAGTATGATGCAAATGAAAAGACTGCTCTGGTTCAAGCACAGGACACTGCTACGAATGATTACAAAGCTAGTGATCCTAATGAGAATATTTTGGAAGACTTGCTCGAGGAGGATCAGGGTAGAGATCCTAACGCTGATTTGAAGGAAATAAGAAACGTTTTACTAGCTTTTATTGCAGCTGTTATATTTAGTGTGAGTTTAGCTGGGATTTCCTTGATCAGACAATAAACTGGGCTTTGTTCAAATGACTTGCATGTTAAACCTCGGGTGCTGATGGTGAATTTAGATATTTAGATTGGGACATTTTATATTTGAAGATATATGATTACTGGAGGTGATTTGGTTTTGAATCTGTACGTTAAATCTATTGAGGTTTCATAACTTCCATTATTGTTATCGCCGATGTTTCAATTTTTCAATACCGATGACAATTGACAAACTGGCTAAATTTGAAATATGTAATCATAGATACAACTTTTTAATTGTGCACAGTTTATAGAAGAAGTTGAACCTAAAGATAATCAAATACAGTAAAACCCCGATTTAATTTAACAATTAAATATGTATATTAACCTATAGAACCATCCTCATAGAAGGTTTTTTGATGAGCCATTCTTGTCGAATTTAGTACGTGTCGAACTTGAGTCCAGGTAGCGCACTTTAGTTCGACAGAGTCGAACCTTAGGGTTTGTCGAACTGCAGTACGTGTCGAACTAGAGTGCGTGTCGAACTTGAGTAATGAGTACGTGTACCTAAGGTGACAATTGCCTCGATCTTTTGGTTTTAGCTTAACCCCCTCGGCCCTAGGTCATGAGTAAAACCGAAGGATCAAAATATGTTGCTTGTTGCTCGTATTAACTATAAAATATCAATTTTGAGGGATAAGGAAGTGTTTATAGGTTCTGAAACCTAGTTAAATCGATTTCTCGTGCAATTTTAGTTAAGAACAGTCATAAAAATGAGTTAATAACAAGGTCGATTTCTCGGTTATTTTTAAGCTTTCGTTCAGAAAATAATTCGGGACCTTCAAAAGGGGGTAACAATGAACAAGAAGGAGTTACAAGCGTTACAAGCGTTCCATAATACAACATCAACATGTGCATCACCTCTTTCCTCTGCTGAGCAGGTACTTACTATTAAAGTAAACAAATGTACGTCACCTCCCCACGAGAATCCACATCTATAACCAACTAAATTGGTTAACATTTTTATCGTACGATAAAGACACTTGAGATAGGCAGATTCTGTCTCCCTTAAACTGTACTTCCTCGCTTGCTGCATCTCCTCTGCGGTGCAGGATTGATCGGATCGAACTTCTGACTATCTTTAGAGAAATTTACTTTGGGTGAGAAATCATTATAAATAATAATAAAAAAGGAAAATTCTAAAATGTAAAACTCTCCCCAGGAGCCAGAGTGGTCGGTTGGAAAAAGGAAAATTCTAAAATGTAAAACTCCCCAGGAGCCAGAGTGGTCGGTTGGAAAAAGGAAAATTCTAAAATGTAAAACTCTCCCCAGGAGCCGGAGTGGTCGGTTGGAAAAAGGAAAATTCTAAAATGTAAAACTCTCCCCAGGAGCCGGAGTGGTCGGTCGGAGTGCCTATTTCTGAAAGTAGTCACGTGTTTGAACTGTCTTGCAACCCTGGAGATATGGAGTGGACAGTACAGAAGCACTGATACTTGATAGTGATCTTCTAGTGAACTTCTGTTTGAAGATTCTTAGCTTCACAATATGTTACTTGTTACTTTTGATGCTCTTCCACAAAATTTAAACGTTGTCAGATTTGGAGGGTGCTCTTGAATCTGGAATGTATATTCTCAGTTATTACTATAAGTATGTACTATATATAGTACATACTTATACAGGGTGGGCCAAAAGTCAGTACCCATACGTTGGCCTTAATAGCTCCGCCGTGTTTTATATTTGAGAGCTGTTGCTTTGCAGATGGCATACTGTACTTACTGGTTCGAGGATTCCGTCGTCAAAATTTGAAAATTCGAATATTTTAGACCACGCCCATTCAATATTAAAACACCTATATTGTTTTCTCTGAACATGCTGAACGCCTAATTTTTTCAGAGACGGTAGATTATCAAATGTTGCATATGATCTGAAAACATAAGGCAAAACGGATTAGAAATGACGAAGTTATCAAGCATTTTCTGTATCTCGTTAACAAAATTGACTGGGTGATTATGTGAACCGTGACACGACACCTTAATTGGGCACCCTTAACAATTCCCATAATGTTTAACGGGGTAGTTACCGGGGGCACCTTATCACGTGATTAGGTAAACCAATCACCTGATCACACGTAATGAATAAACTCGTTATGCTTCATATCTCGGTCATCTGAGAAGCTACAGTTCTAATTCTTTCAGGACAAACGTAATTCGAATGGCCAAACACAATTCAATAACATTTAGCTTGATCCGACTATCCAAACTATCAAATAAATGTGAAAATGAACCTCCATTTGAAAAAAATGAACGCGAATATTTTTCGAGTTGACAAATTCCTCGAACCAGTGGTGGTACTAAGTCATACCAGAAAGAAGTATTTAAATTGGGCACTCAGTGACTGAGCTATAAAGGCCAACGTATGGGTACTGACTTTTGGCCCACCCTGTAGTAATAACTGAGAATAGAGCTTTAGAATAATTTCTTTGGGCATGCTTGAAAGATGAATTTGTTATTATTTATCAGAATGATCTTAAAGTTAATGTACTTATTTGATTTGAAATTGTGTTATCTGAAGAATTTAAAACATACTTTTAGTAATACAATAGTACAATAGTCCAAATGCAAATTAGGCTGTCCGTGTCCACGATATGCCATCCTCTCGTATTATAGACTATCAAAATATCAAAAGAACTAGTCAAAAAGTTCCAGCGCAATGCGTTCATCTACAGAAAATGCTGTGGTGACATTTTAAATCAAATCTACTTACTTTTGAATAACTTTAACTTCTTACTTTACCAATCTCAGTAGTTTCAGATGTGTTTTTTTACACCACAGTCTGTAGGTTCTAACACACGATAAACAACGTGTCACGTCAACCCATCCTAATTCCTAGCTTGCTAGTCTATTGCTCGCTGGCGTGCCAGGGAAACGTTAACCCATTTCTCAGTTACCAAATCCTAGCCTCGACTCTTTCCAGCTGCCAATGACCGTCTACGTGTCACTTAAAAATAACTCTCAAGTTATATCAAACTGGGATCAAGTTGGAATTAAACATGAAGTTTGACCTGAAACTGTCCTATAGGCTATAGATCAAATTAGGCAATCAAATAGCAAATTAGGCCGTCCACGAGGCAACATATGCGTCTAACTCTATATGCGTATTAATTAATATTATAGACTATCAAAAATATCAAGAGAACTAGTGCTTATCTTACTTTACCAATCTCAGCAGAGGTTCAGACATGCGTTTGTTTTACGCCGCTGCCATATATAGTCCGTATTTAGGTCGAGTAGAAAGCTGAGAGAAATAAACCATACACATTCTCCAGCTGCCATTGACCGTCTGGCGAGTGGCGGCTGTATGTCACTTACTCTCAAGTTGAATTTAACTGGGATCATATTGGAATTAAACATGTCATGATTATATAGATCCTTCCAAATAAATGGTTATTGAGCGACGCATATCTCCCATGACTACCCGCCAGCTTCCCCTTCATCCCCAGGCTTTCTCTGCTGTAAACTAACTTAACCAGACAACTGTCCACTGGAGACTCCAGTTCATCTGTCTGGAATATAATATGTTTGATGTTTTAGTTCAGGAGAGTGCTATATACGGCGACAAGCCGGGGAGAGTCACGAGTGATCAGGACGCCTAACCAGGGATATGCATTTTTGGTTTTTATGCTCTAAAATACGAATTAAATATGGTAGTGGAATTATATAGTTGTCCTTCAGTTTAGGCATTCTAGTAATACCAAATACTCCGTAATCAACCGTAATCAAGACTAACTTAACCAGACCCAACCTCCCCCCCCCTCCTGACAGCAATATAACGTAATCATGGCCTGACCCCCCCCCCCCTACCCCTAGAAAACACTTTTCTCTACGTTTCATGCTACCCTGATTATGCTATCATGATGAGCCGAAATCATTGTTATAATATCCGGCCAAGCACCTTCTAAACTACTTATTATTATTATACTTATAGCCGGATATTCGATCAATTTCTAAATTTTATCACTATCGGAGTAAAATTTAGTGGAATTTGAATTAAAATATTGTCAAATTGTTATTATTCCTCCCCCCACCCCCCCCCCCCCCCCCCCGTAATCAACCGTAAGAAATTGGGAAACCCCACCCCCTCGGCTGATTACGTAATATGCTTTGCAGAATTATTACTGCAAAATTTGTAGTTTACTATGATAAAGTATTAATCGAAACTGCTTCCTCGATGAACAGTTACGAACGCAACTTTGCAACTTTGAAATTATAAAAACTACATATTATTATTATGTAACCGGGTCGATCTTAAATTTTTTGCTGGAAACCATAATCATTAATCAATGCAATCTTTCCCTCTCCCCCTCTCTCCCTCTCTCCCTCCCTCCCCATATCCCTCTATATACTTCTCCCTAGATCCCTCAATCATTTCTATTTCTCCATTCTCTTCGCCGTCTCGTGGCTCTGCGTTATTCATGTTACTGTATGTAACGGGTGATGACTAAAAAATGGGACTTTTTTCGAGGGTCTTTTTAGTGTCGATAAAACTATTTTTGGTTCAAACCAATGAAACAGCGTTGTAAAACGGGCAATTTTGAACGAGTATGGTCAATGACAAGCGCCCATGAGCCCATTTTGATTGGTTCAGGAGGGCTTCTTTCATCAAGCTCAAAAATCCGTCTGTACAGTTGGGCCTAAAATCGTGTTGGCGCAGTCTCTTCTTTTGTGCCCTAAGGCCCATGTATGCTTGTAAGCCATATTCCGGGCATGTACATGTGTTGCCAGGACTCTAAAGAAGTCCTCTATGGGTTGAGATTGTCAAAATTTACTTTGGTCGATAACTTTTGGGACGAAATTGGCCCTTATGGCAAATAAAGATGTGGTTTTCCCAGAAAAATACGATCTAGCCCCATCCTAACGAACCACCTTCCACCCTTTGGGGATATTTTCTTGTAGGAACAACACCTGGCAAGGCTTCAAGCACTTTGATTTTTACGTGGTACCATTATAGACCATGCTAAAGCCGATAGTTGACCTAGCCTCGATCTTTCACACGGTAAAATTTTACCCCTCAGGTGGTTTTGAGCTCAAATATCTTCTTACTGGTTTTAGCTACGCTGATGGGTGTTGAACCCTCGTCTTAAGCATAACATTCGGCATACTCTCTGCTAAATATTTTTTGGTATGGAAGCTTTAACTACCTGTGAGGCGACTTCTGTGAACAGAGCTTTACTGTAAAGTTTTTATAGGACCCCTCCCCTAGTTCGAGACCATTATCGGGGACAAAGATCAACCAATTTTATCAAATGGGGGTGGAAACTGTTCGAGTATCGTTCAGAGTAACTGGTGGTTGTGGTAAAATATCAAAATTTTGTTCAGGTGGAATCTGAGGGCTAAAAAACATGTAGTCCCATTTTTTATTCATCACCCGTTATGATACATTCTTTTTTTTTCTGCCGTGATTTCAAGCAGACACCTTTGAGTATTAATAATACCTGATCATAGTCATACTCGCATAACTTTGTTATAATTAAACGTGTACAATCAAGATATGGTACATATAAAATAGGGCACACGTGCAAGCCACCACCGCCAATATCAAATATGAATATTATAAGTTACAAGTAGTGAGTTGGTGTGCTGTATGTTTGTAGGTATTAACAGCTTTCCCTGGTGCACAGTCTTCATTGATATAATGAAAGTGCCGACAATAGGGTGATCAACGCGTGGAGGTGAGCTTGCAGCAAATTGTCACGTGACTTAAGCAGCAACCTTTCACGTGACTTGCCACAACCTGGCACGTGACCAGTACGTGCGGGCTATGCTTAGGAGTTAGCTTCCAGCGCTCCATCACGTGATGAAACTGCTTTACAGCGTATATATGATCTCAGTGCTCACTGAGCTGTGCAATATGGTTTGTTATTTGTCGTGTTATAACCTTTTAATATTATATTATATAGTGCAGATTTGGTTTTACACTCGTGTTATCTCTCATTGTTGACAAGATATTATATGTTTGGTTATTTAGGATGGCCTGTACTTAGTCTTATGTAAATATGAAATGAAATGAGGTATTTATATCCCGCTCATATGATTAACCAACAACACAAGGAAGGTGATTAACCATGTCAGAGCGACTGACTGTGAGTGATGTGAGCAAATGTGTAAAAATGAACAAGAGTATAACTCAGTATAAGGCTAACGAAACGAAACGAAACGAAACACTGTATTTACTACCCCGCTACTATGCGACAAAGATATTGTATAAAGATAACTAAATAATTTACACAATACGGTGCCCATGTCTGAGGCCTGAGCGGCTCTCCTCAAATAACTTTCTCTCCTCCTCGGAGCAGAAAGTTAAGAACAAAACACGGGTCTCATAAATCAAAAAAATACTAAATAATGTTAAAGAGAAAATATCAGATTAACTGTCGCAAAAAATGGTTAAAGTATACATATTACATAATTGATTTTATTGACACACCGATAAAAACCAGAAAAACAAGAAGTGGATACTCGGAAAACAAAAAATAACACAAAAAAGACTAGAAGCCACAAAAAATAGCTTAACCAGGCTATAGCTGATCATACAAATAGTTCTTTAACTTACCCTTAAAAGAGACA